CTTCGAGTAAAGCCGATTAGGTTTTCGCGATGGTTTTTTGTTAGAAACAGTACGTAACTCATATTCCCCTGGGTGAACTCGGGAGTTTTCCAAGACACGCCTAACAGTATCCTCCGAGACATTAACCTGCGAAGATGACTTAATTTCCCGACACGACACTGCAGAGTTGGATGCTTTCCTAAGGATACGGCGGTTATTCCGATCGGGCAGCAAAGGAGGATGTCCAGAGCTCTTCTCAACTCAATATGCTGTAGGTCCCTTGGAAAAAATTGTTGATAGAATGATGAGTGCGGCCCGAATCCCGAGCGATCGACGCTTCACCAGTTTTTGAGTCTTCTTTGCGATAATCTGTCCTTTTTCGAGGTCCATTAATGAAGTTCCACTTGCCATAGCCTAGAAGAGGCAAGAAGTCATAATGATGAGAAGTTTCACCGAACAAAAATGAGATGCAGCCGGAAAATATGCGGTGGAACTATATTTTTGCTGCGTTGTCAGAACGACCATTTTTGAAAAAATTGACGAAAAAAAATTGTTTTTTCTAGAGTTTGGTGTTGGCATGCGAATTGGTATTGGTAATTACCACATTTTCTGTATGGGGGCATTTTTGAAAACGTCGTGTAAGACGGGATTTTGTGAGATTCATGGGTGGAACTATGATTATGCTTCGCAGTGTATAGTCCCCGCCGTAGTAACATGTAGTAACTAACATTTTTCGACTGAAAATCAATTTAGATCAAGTATTTTGACCATTATTATCTTTGATTTTTTGCAATTGTCCGGTAATTTCAATAACATTGGTGTGGAACTGCTGGTTTTTAGACGGAGAAAACTTGGCCTAGTGATTTTCAGGAGCGCTTCGGTCGGCTAAATTCTTATCGTCAAGGGAGTTTTGCAGAGATTGAAGTAGATGATATCATAAGAGGCGGTCCGGACCGAGTCATCACAGATCTGTAGGGAGCGCAGCGGATTCGCCATGGCAAAAAAGCAGCACTCACTGTATTTCCTCAGATATTTCCACCTTTTCTCAAATTAAAATAGCTTATTACAACGCAACAAATTAGAGAAGTCTTGAGTCTTGGCAAAAATGTGAGCTGGAATGTTAATTTTTACGCATACATTTGTTCGGGACAAGCCTCTGAGTGCTGTACCAGAACCAGCTTGTGGCGAAAAATCACGCAAACTTTTCATAAAACCTAATATCATCGAGAATGACTGCAAAAGTTGAAGAGAGAGAATGGAAAGTGAAATATGACTGCACAAGACTTTTCCCTCCAGCAATTACTTCAACGACTTGGTAAAAGCTAGACTTGATTACTCCGCCAATTAAAATCGACAACTGATTCATAAATAAATATATACATATATAAAATCATAAATACGTAAACTCACAAGAGGATTTGACAGAATCGACTTCATTACTCGTTTCATCTTCGCTGTATTCAGATGGTAGGGATTCACACGACACGAAAAATCCATAATCTGTCAAAATAATTCCATGAAGTAACAAAAATGTAAAGCAACTACGACCATTATTTTCACTGTACACTGGCGAACTCAGAGATGCCCATATAATTGGAAAACTAACGCTGATAACGTAGCCGTCTTCTCTCTTAGGTCCTAATGCATCTATTGCTTCAAACTCGGCAGCGACTGCGGCAGCTCGCTCTTCCTTAGTCATCGCATAG